CGAGTAGATCATGTTGTGCGGGGTCGAGAAACCTCACTCCGCGCAACGGGGGGATGATCGCACCACGTTGTGTTAAAATGGTCAAGCTTCCTCGAGGCAGTTACACAGTGCTTACAACTGTCTCTGGAAGTGAAAGCACCAGAAAATAAATTAAGTCATACGTAGCTGTCATCCGTACGCAAGGAAGTAAGCACAAGATGCCGAACACCCTTAGCAGGATGCAGCGCACCCTTCATGCGACTCGCCGAATACCTCACGGCGCTTCGCGCTTGGTGATGTGAGAGCCTGGTCCGGTGAGAACCCGGCATGCTCCGTCCCGGCTTTGTAGGGATGCGAGGTCAATGGTCAAACGACTACGGCATGCACGACTATGAGTACACCCCCCCCGCGCTGCCCCCGCCGCCCCCGCCTCCGCTCCGACCGTCCCCTCCCCCGCCGAAAGCCGGCGCCAGCGGCGCCAGTGGCATGAGAAGGTGTGTGTGGGTGAACTGCGGCAGCGGGATTTCACCCAACTGCATTCCTCCCGGTATCCCCCCACCCCCGGCCTTCGCCTGCTCCGCCAGCGCCCTCGCAGTTGCCGCTGCGGTCCACTCCTCGAGGCCCGTGTTGAATGCCCGCATGAATGCCTCGCGGAACCGTCACCCCCGTGTCAAGAGCCCATTCACCGCGAAGTAGCGCCGAACTGTTGTCGCCATGCCGGCCAGGTGCGCCGTTAGCCCAGAAGTCCTAAACCGGGCTTCACGGTCAGCAGGGTCCACGATATAAGACGCAAGGTACCCTATCAACTCGTACAGGGCCTCCACGCGGCGGTCCAACTCCATGTCCACGTCCATCAGCCCCCCCCCCCCGCTCCCCCCCCTTATGTTTTGGTCGAAAAACGCTGCACCTCCAACCCGGGCATGGCTGCGATCTGCGCCGCTCCTTCCCCATCCATCCTAAATTCCCGGGCCAGCACCTGCACGTCCTTGGCTGTCCCGAACGGCAACGCTTTATTTACCATCCCCCCTGATAAACGTCCAGGTGGAAAAAAAACGAACCGACGATGCTCTTGCTCTCTTTCTCTGTCTGTCTCCTCCCTTCCGTACACTACCTTCCTTCTTTTTCCTCCTCTGTCTCTCTTCTACTCCTCCTCTTGTTTGCTTGTTGTCTTGCTCTTTCGTTCAGATGTTTCTTCTGTTGTGAGCAAGGTGCATCTCTTACTTTTCTTTTCCTTTCGTTATACATACCTACCTATCAATTCTCTCTTATCTACGGTGCCCCCTTTGACATTTCTAACGCGAAAGATTGACTGACGAAGTAAGGGAAATCTGCGTTTTGTGAGAAGCGGCAGAAATAAACCGTTGGCCAATCAGAAAGCAGGAAGCGGACGAGCGTGTTGGTTCCTGTTTTCAGTCTACTCGCTTCGCCGTGTTTACCGGGGGCGAGCGAGAGCACGTGTGTGTGCTTGTGGTGGCCAAGGGTTGTTTCTGCCGTGACGTTTCAAAACACCAGGTTGTACAACACAACCTTCCACCTGATAAATAAATAATAAAAAAAAAAATACAAGGGCGGCCTTGCAAATAACTCGGAAAAGAAGGAATTTCGGCAACGACGACGGTGCATTTCATTCCACCGAAATTATTAGGAAAAATAAATACACCCACAAAAGACTACCCGTTCGAGATTATATATACCCACATACTGCCCAGGGACCATCGAACGGGATGTGGTGGGAGCGGTGCTAAGTGCTTAGCCCTTTGACGAGAAAATATAGTTCGAGGATTGCCTGGTGGGTGGGTGGGGAGGACGGCGGAAAAAATATACCCCGATGGATATACCCCGATGCCGGTTGACCCGCTGCTGTACATGTGCTGTACACCTTTTTTTTGCACCGCTCAAAAACTAGCATATATCCATAGCCCTATCCCTAACCCCAGCCCAACCGGCCCGACCCAAACCTATAGCATTGGAAAGTGCTAGGTCACTGCACCACAAGCAAGCCTAGGCCGCTGCAAGCCGCGGCGCTGCCTCGGTTGCTGTGCCCCGTCAGCGCTTTCTTGGTTCGTGCCGGGGCGATGCTTGGAAACTGTGGCGTTTTGGCTTTGTGCCGCGGCGCGTGTGTGGTGCGGGCTCGGTTGTCGCGCTCTGGCTTCTTTTTAAGGGGTGCTGTGCACTGTTAGCGCTAGGTTGCTGCATGGTGAAAGGCTACACTGCTGTAGGGTGGCACTACTGGAGGTGTGCACAACAGAACCAGAACAATAACGAGAATATTCTGGGAACCTTCTTTGTCGCCAAGTGGGCAAGCACTATTTACTATGGTACATACTGTGTGGTGGAGGCTTTTCAGTGAGTGGAGGAAAACCGGCTGGCTGGGTACTAGACTTATTTCGAGGCAATGATGATTTATATCATCAGTGATGATTTATATCATCAGTGATACCAGCTGGTGGTGGTGCTAATTGGTTGTAAGGGAGGAGGGGGGGGGGGGGCGTTGCCGTGAGCTCCTGGACGCTGTTTGGTAACAGATCGTAACAGCTATCTATCTATGTGTGTGTGGAGGTCAGGATATGGAGAGATTCAGGAAGCACAGATAACAGCATTGGGATCTGAGGGACTGCGATAAAATAAATCATCACTCACTGCTGTTCTCGTCCCTGCTCCCCAACAGTTCATGACTTCCGATTCCCAACAGAGTTGTTGCGAAATACATGTATGTATGTAGTCTTGGCATACGACGTCCACTAACTGTATGCTTACATACATATATATATGTGATATGAGGTTGGTGTACATATGCTCAGTGACTTCTAACAATCGTAACGGCCCACGATGTAGTTTATGAATCTTTAGGAGGATGGGAAGGAAATGAGTCCACGAAGGCTCGCCCATATTATGTAACCTGCGAAGACCTGTTTTTTTAAGCGCTAAGTACAATATGAAACATTTATTTTTTTTGTTCACGTTCACCGACGATTTTGTGTGTGGCCAGTTTTGCCCTCTCGGCCAAATCCTTCAGCACCATGCCTCCTTTTGAAGGGTCCAGTGTACCTACAGCAGTAGGAGTTTGTTGTTGCTGTTGTTGTTTTCTGCGCATTAAAAGCAGTTTCGACCTCTTCTCTATCCCGTACCTCCCTCTCTCGGCCTGATCTAGTGAGTGGTAAAACGTTCGTTCCCGAATGAATGTCCTTATTATATCGGAGGACGGAAGGAACCATTCTCAGCGTTACAGATTTACGGCACATGCATGAAGAGAACTTCTTGTGTGTTACCCCGGATCGGACCTCTTGAGTTAGAGAGGAGGCACCGCTGGTTGGAGGTATATTGTACGTGAATAAAATACATACTCGAAAGTAGGATGGCAAAAATAGGCCACAAATTTATCGTAGAGACCTCCCGTGCGCCAAACCTCATGAGCCCTGAAACAAAAACGGGAAGGAAGGGTACATAAGAGAGAGAGAGAGAGAGAGAGAGAGAGAGAGAGAGAAGCAATTGCAGTGAGTTCGTCAACCCGATTCCCACAAAATGCAGACTACACCATGCACCGGGACCGCTACCTACTACTTTTTTTATGGCCATGCAGGGACACCACAAAAAGAGAGAGGGCAAAAAAAGCAGACGAGCCTTCTTGAGCATTGGAGCTGTGGGCGTTTTGTTCGTTGCCGTTTCCTGCCGGACACGAGACAAGCTAGCTCCACGAGACTCGTGTGTCGTCTACACAGGAATATTGTAGGTGGTGTGCTCACGTGATGAGAGCGCATCATCACCTCCAAGTCCGTATTCGCGTGCAATATATATACTGACTGCAAACAAACGAGCCGTGAAGTCCCAAGAGAACGAGAATTATTTGCTCGTCGACGACAACGCCCCGCCACGCTGATCCTTCGGAGAGAGACGTGCTGCAGCACTGCGTTAACAAATATTTTGCACACACACAAGACACGTAATATTCGCAACACCACTGCCGCTGCTGTGTGAACTCGAGCCAAAAAAAAAGAAAAGGAGGCGCCACCAACACTCCTCTTTCTACCGGGCGTGTACACAACTGAGGCCACAAACCTCCAACAGGCCCACGGTCATCGCTCGTCCACGAACCTCTCTTCTTGTGGAAGTGAAAAAACCGAACGCAAGCAAGCCTATTATAGTCGTTTGTTCAAGCGACGAAACAACGCGCTTGGCACAAACATCAAGGGACGGGAATGAAGTTAAGACATGTGCGACTTTCGTGTGGGCTTGTCGCTTGAATTTTCGAATCCCAGACGTTGAACGGCAGTGGCCCCACCGAGCGAAAACAACAACAGGGACGTGCCTGTGATACCTCGAACACGGACGTTGCCGACTATTGCTTGCCCCATCCAAGCAAGCGTCGCTGCCACCACAAAGAGCGACCGCTTGCCTTTTCTCTCGAGTACGACAAATGGCGCTTTGCTGTTGCCCATGCGAACACACACGATGCAGACACCCCCCCGTAAAAGTCTCGACTGTCACTCCTTTTTCTCCCATAGCCTCTTGAGTGCCATCAACTGCAACCAGTGCCAGTGACCCTTTCACCACCCCACCCCGCTTCCGTTTCTCTCCATGAGTGCCAACGAGTGTCACCCTCTGGCGAGTGGCCTCCCTCCGCCACCTCACCTTTTCGCCCATGGCCTAGCGAGTAACACCCAGTGCCACGGTCCTGGTGGCCCTTCCCTCCCTCCACCCCACTTCCTACTCTCCGATGCCACCACACGCTCAGGCTTGTCCGCCACAGCCCGACGCAGCACAACGCGCACAACACAAGGGGGCAAACACCAAGAAGAGGAAAGCGTACGCCCACACGAGGGCAGCAGGGAAAACAAACTCTAGCTTACACGCCCAGAGGTGGGCATAAAAGAAATACGAGACTGCCTGGTTGTCTCACTGCCAACACGAACATGGCACACACCGCGATTGTAAGCTGTGGCCTCAAATCGAGATGATATTCACCAACGGGTACGAAACGACAATGAAAAACGCACGAAAATTAGGAAACTCGCGTGGCCCACATCAGTGGTTGACATTTTTTATTTTCCCCTTATTTTGACACAACGCATCCATCTCTATCTAGTGGTTGACGTTTTGAGACGGGTGCGGCGGTACAACGGAGGAGAAAAAAAAAAAAAAAACGAGCAGACAACAATCAAACTGCCGAAGGGGTAGGGGTGGAACAGATACTAAATGAGGCACTACATTTCGTCAACATCTAGACCTGGCAACAACTAGCGATTCTTGTCTCCACCACATTCGAACGAATAAACGGGGCAAATACCGAGAGAGATTATTAATAAAGAAGAAAAAAAAAGCTGATAATTCGCCGTCTACATACCTGAATACTTTTAAAACCTCTTCAAGGTACACGGTACAAAAAATCGTAGAGGATAAAGGTACCAAGCGAAAGAGAGAGGGCAGTTGTACACATTCACGCGAGCAGCATGTCTGGAAACAGAAATCAAATAGCAGCGCTAGCGGCAGTGTTAGGCAATACGCGCAATTGTCCATGGCCACGGAACCCACCCCTTGCTGCAAAAACAACCGAAATGTTCGCTCAAAAATGCTTAACGTAGCGAGCGTGGTACACGCCCCCCCCTCCATCCCCCGCCCACCCCTCCCCAGACTGCTTCCTCCAGAAAAACGAAATCTCCTTCAAAGCTTGTGACGCTGAGAAAGAACTCATGCTCTCTCGCCTCCGATTCGATGGGCAAACTTCCCAGGCCCTCCCAGGCCCGTGTAACAATCGAAGCACAGCACCAACACAACGGCACCAACACTAAATAAAGCCGAGCGAGAACCAACGGCTGCTGCTGGTTACCTCTTGCGCACAGCCGCAATTCTTGGGTCATGGCAGGCAAAGAAAAGGAGAGAATTGACACTCTTCTCCTCCTGTCTCGGGAGTAAAAAAGCGCACGGTAAAATACATTTGTGATCGACGACCATGGCGGATTTCATCAAAAACACCGCAATCATCACTACTATCTCCTGACAGCTAAAACCCCCC